CCCCCCCCCCCCCCCCCCCCACCTGTGTGCCGGGATGCGCTGCGTCCCTCGGCCTTTCCCCACCAGGAAGTGCACGTCGCTCAACACCTCGTTGTTAAACAGAAAAGCGAAGCGTTCCTGCACCGTGGGTTTGGTCGCCTGCCAGTTGTACACCGGTTCTCTCTGCAGCCCTCCGCCCGGGCCGCCCGCCGGGGCCGCCCCCACTCCCGGGCCTCCTCCTCCTCCTCCTCCGGCCGCCGGGTTGTTCGCTCCGCACTGATTGTACGTGAGCCCCGGAGGGGATGCGGGCGTTCCGTCAGCGGTTGCGGCGCAGGCCGTTCCGTTGCCCGGTGGAGGCGGCGGGGGTTGCGGGCAGGATGAGGACAGACCCCCGGGGCCGCTCCCGCCGGCCGCCATCTTGTGCGGAGCGCGGCGCGGCGCGGGGCGGCGCTGCAACAGCAGCAGAACCACGAGCGGCGGGCGGGACACGGCGGCGGGAGGGAGCGGGGAGGCGGGGGGAGGGGGGGTGATGGTGGTGGTGGTGGGGGGTTGGGGGGGACGGGGGGCGATGCACAGAGCCGGGCAGCAGCGCGGCATGGAGGGAGGGAGGGTGGGGAGGGGATGGGGTGAGGGGAGGGGGGAGGGAGGAGGGGGCGGGGCTAAAGGTGAGGGGCGTGGGGGGGAGGGAGGGGGGGTGAGGGGAGGGGGGCGGGGCTGAGGTGTGGGGGCAGATGTGGGGGGGGGGCAGATTTGAGGGGAAAGGGGTACATTTGAGAGAATAGGGGCAGATTTGAGGGAAAGGGGCAGATTTGAGAGAATAGGGGCAGATCTGAGGGGAAAGGGGCAGATCTGAGGGGTGTGAGGGGCAGATTTGAGGGGAAAGGGGGAAATTTGAGAGAATAGGGGCAGGTCTGAGGGGAAAGGGGCAGATTTGAGGGAAAGGGGCAGATTTCAGGGGAAAGGGGCAGATCTGAGGGAAAAAGGGCAGATATGAGAGGAGAGGGGCAGATCTGAGGGGTGTAAGGGGCAGATTTGAGGGAAAGAGGCAGATTTAGGGGTGTGAGGGGCAGATTTGAGGGGTGTGAGGGGCAGATTTGAGGGGAAAGGGGTAGATTTGAGAGAATAGGGGCAGATTTGAGGGAAAGGGGCAGATTTGAGAGGAGAAGGGCAGATCTGAGGGGAAAGGGGCAGATTTGAGAGGAGAGGGGCTGATCTGAGGGGTGTGAAGAGCAGATCTGAGGGAAAAAGGGCAGATCTGAGAGGAGAAGGGCAGATCTGAGGGGAAAGGGGCAGATTTGAGGGGTGTGAGGGGCAGTTTTGAGGGGAAAGGGGTAGATTTGAGAGGAGAGGGGCTGATCTGAGGGGTGTGAAGGGCAGAACTGAGGGAAAAAGGGCAGATATGAGAGGAGAGGGGTAGATTTGAGGGGTGTAAGGGGCAGATCTGAGGGGAAAGGGGCAGATTTGAGAGGAGAAGGGCAGATCTGAGGGGAAAGGGGCAGATTTGGGGGGTTTGAGGGGCAGATTTGAGGGAAAGAGGCAGATTTAGGGGTGTGAGGGGCAGATCTATGGGGAAAGGGGCAGATTTGAGAGAATAGGGGCAGATGTGAGGGGTGTGAGGCACAGATTTGAGGGAAAGGGGCAGATTTGAGAGGAAAGAGGCAGATTTGAGGGGTGTGAGGGGCAGATCTGAGGGGAAAGGGGCAGATCTGAGAGGAGAGGGGCAGATGTGAGGTGATGTGAGGGGCAGATTTGAGGGAAGGGCAGATATAGGAGAGAGGGGAAGTTCTGAGAGAAGAGGGGCAGATTTGAGAGGAGAAGGAGCAGATGTGAGGTGTTTGGGTGGATGTGGGGGGAGAGGGGCAGTTCTGAGGGATGTGAGGGGCAGATATGAGAGGAAAGGGGCAGATATGAGGGCTGTGAGTGGAGAGAGGAAGATGGGAGGGGGGCAGATATGAGGGGTGTGAGGGGCAGATATGAGAGGAGAGGGGCAGATTTGAGGGGAAAGGGGCAGTTTTGAGTTGCAGATGTGAGGGGATGGGGGCAGATCTGAGCTGTGTGGGCAGATGTGAGAGGTAAGGGGCAGATTTGAGGGAAAAGGGGCAGATATGAGAGGAGACAGGCAGTTCTGAGGGATGCGAGGGGCAGACCTGAGGGAAAGGGGCAGATTTGAGAGGAGAGGGGCTGTTTTGAGTGGCAGATGTGAGGGGAGGGGAGCAGTTCTGCAGGATATGAGGGGCAGTTCTGAGAGGAAAGGGGCAGTTCTGAGAGGAGAGGGGCAGATGTGAGGGGGGCAGATGTGAGGGATGTGATATAAGGGGAAAGGGACAGATAGAGGAGAGGGGCAGATTTGAGGGGCAGTTTTGAGGGGCAGATGTGAGGGGTAGGGGGCAGATCTGAGGAATGTGAGGGTCAGATTTGAGGGGAAAAGGTAGATATGAGAGGTATGGGCAGTTCTGAGGGGCAGTTCTGAGGTGTGTGGGCAGATCTAAAGGGAGAGGGGCAGATATGAAGGGAGAGAGAAGAGGGGTGGGTGTGAGGAGCAGTTCTGAAGGGAGAGTGATGGGTGTGAGGGATGTGAGGGGCAGATCTGAGGGATGAGGGGGCAGTTCTGAGGAGAGAGGGGCAGTTCTGAGGGGTGTGAGGGGCAGATATAGGGGAAGGGGGCAGATATGAGAGGAAAGGGGCAGATACGAGGGCTGTGAGGGCAGTTCTGAGTGGAGAGAGGAAGATGGGAGGAGGGCAGATGTGAGGAGTGTGAGGGGCAGATATGAGAGGAGAGGGGCAGATTCGAGGGGAAAGGGGCAGGTTTGAGTTGCAGATGTGAGGGGAGGGGGGCAGATCTGAGCTGTGTGGGCAGATGTGAGAGGTAAGGGGCAGATTTGAGGGAAAAGAGATCTGAGGGGAGAGGGGCAGTTCTGAAGGTCTGATCTGGGGGGGTGAGGGGCAGATCTGAGGGGAGGGGGCAGATTTGAGAGATATGGGCGGCTCTGAGGGGCGAGGGGGTGGTTCTGAGAGGAGAGGGCATTTCTGAGGGGCAGATCTGAGGGGAGGGGGCAGATGTAAGGGGCAGTTTTGATGTGTATGGGCAGCTCTGGGGGGGTGAGGGGCAGCTCTGGGGTGAGGGAGAGGCTCTGTGGGGTGTGAGGGGTGTGAGGAGGTAGTACTGAGGGATAGCAGGGATGGGCAGATATGGGGTTTGGGAGCAGTTCTGGGCTGAGGGGGCAGTTCTGAAGGGCACAAGGGCAGTTCTGGTGTGGAGGGACAGTTCTGAGGGGAGGAGGGGCAATATTGAGGGGTAATGGGGGCAGTTCTGAGGTATGCAGGGACCAGGGGCTGAGGAATGGGGGCAGCCCCACCGAGTTGGGGAACAGAGTGATATGAAACTGAGTGTGGGGGGCACCCAGGGCCAGGGGTGCTCCTTGTTGCTCTCATGAACCGTCTCTTCTCCTAAAGCAGGCTCAGGATCCGTGCTCAGCTCCTCAAGGCGCGTGCACACACGAGCAAACGCACAGTCCTGGTGCAGCCCTCCATTGCACTCTGCTGCCACACAGAGCTGTGCCAGCTGTAGGGTCGGAGCTGAGACCCTACACAGCTGAAGGATCTCGTGGGATCAATCTCTGTGGCTGCACACACCGGCGTGGATCGACGGCTTTGCGTCGCGTTATCTCATATCTGCTCCTGCTGCATTGCACACCGGCAGGTTTCTACTGCATTATCCTAATTGGGGGAACTCCCATTCCCACAGCTATGCACAGCTCAGAGCTGGCCATTAACTGACCCTTCTGGCACCCAGTCTGCATGCAGGAATGCACGGCAGCCCTGAGAGAGACGCTGCTTTTCCTTCTGAAATCTTCCTGCAATTACTGATAACCGAGCACTGAACATGGACGCGCTCTCTTTCAAAAACACCACGTCCTTCTCCTCGCAGCACGTCGCAGTTACACCCCTTTGCTGGCAGAGCTGTTTCCATGCATTTCAGCATTGGTTTTTTGCTCAAAACTCTGTTTTCCGCTCTGTCCTGCTTGTGTTTCGCTGCCTCATTAGGGCTGCAAGCATCAGAGGGAGCTGCAGGCTGCTGCTCGGCCCCGTGTGCAGCTGCAAGAGTGGACACTGCATGGAGCAAGCAGCACCGGCCTTTGGCCACCATGCAGGCAACTAATTAGAGCCCTGCGTGTGATGAAATAAATGAAAATTAGTCGTTTTGCGGTGGTGGCCTGATAGTTAAAAGTCAGGCCAATGGAAAGAAGGAGAGAAATAATCGTATGGACAGTGGAGGAATGTGCTCGGGGTGCTGTCACACCCAGGCAGGGGTGCAGAAAGGACGGGGAGAAGCGGCTGCTCATCTCTGGAGCGAAGCAGAAGTGATCAGCAGTGTTATTAGACAAAGAGGCGCCGTCAGAAACAGTGCCATCTGGGAGGCTTCGACTTCCCCAAAATAAAGCTGAGAACAAACGCTCCTAAAAACGGCACCGCGCCGCTATTTCTAGACCTGATCACCACCAGATTGCTGCTTTACCAATCAGGCGCTCGCAGCCGGCTCAGCACAACCAGCAGCCCGAGCACCGCAGGAAGCAGAGGACATCCTACGTTGCTTTGTGTTGTGGAGGTGCGTCCCAAGCAGAAGATGGGAACAGAGACCCTCAGAAACGTCACACGTCCCACTGTGTCACCCAGGTGCCACCGCCACGCTGTCACCGTGAGCTCCTATTTTGGGCTGATGCTGCAGCACCCAGTGGCGTGGGGCACTTTGGCTCAGCTTAGGGCTATTTTCAGAGCTGCCCTTCTCTGCACGTGCTCTGACCCAGTGTCCAACCGTGGGGCACTTTCTAGGGGCGGTGGCGAGGAAGGGGATCCTGGCTGGGACAGCAGAGGTGACACCAGAGCTGCTGGGACCAAAGGGACACCCCAGGCCATTGTCCTCAGCCCCACAGAGCTCAGCTCTGCCCCACAACTTCACCACTGCCCCAGCCCAAACCCGGTTCTGAGCTGAGCACCGGCACCCAGGTGCTGTTGTGCCCATCCCCAGCGCAGGGGCACGGCTGGAAAAGTTCCTCACCGTGCCAGAACACACCTTAAAAAAATCACTTTATATTTCCGAGAACTTAAACAAGGGTTAAAGCAGCACAGCAATGCTTTTGCAGCCCCTCTCCCCCTGCGCTCCCCACCTCCACGTTCCCCAAAGCTGGCCCCATAGCATCCTCAAAAGCCAAAACCATCCCCAAACCCCCAGTCACCTCATCCCCAAAGCCATCCCCTCCCACCCCACGCTGTCTCTGTGCCTCAGTTTCCCCCAACCCACAGCCCAGGGCACACTGGGGCCATGGTGACCACCCCCCACCCCAGGGTCGGGAGAAGTGAACAGGGACTGGGACAGCCCCCACCCTTGGGTCGGTCTCAACGCATTTTTATTAAATCCTTACAAAACAGAATACAAAATTCTGGCATCAACAATGGTTATAAAGGAAAACTTCAATCCAGCTGTATCAGTTCACCTGGTACATACAGTAAAGTGCTTGTTGGTTGTAGGGTTTTTTTTTTTTTTTTTTTTTTCTTCCTTTTTAATTCTCTTTTTTTTTTCTCCCCCTGTTATTTTTATTCCCCAGCCAGCCCTGAGCAGAGGCAGCGGGGTACAATGCGTCAGCTCAGCTTTGGCAGTCTTCATCCATCATAAAGCAGAGAAAATCCCCCCATTTCTATTAAAAAAAAAAAAGTTAACTTCACAGTACAAGTTTCTACCCAGTCCTACGTCAGGTCAGCGGGGGGCCGGAGGGGAGTGCAGGGATGGGAGAAGGCAAAATGCTTAAAGTTTCCAGCTTCAAAACTAACGTAACATCTGGTTTCTGGGATAGGTGCTTTGCGGGGCTTTGCAGGAGTGGGTGAAGGGCTTTGGGGAGCACCTGTGGGTGCCACAGGGCTGATCCTGAACCCCACAGCCTGACCCCGTGCTGCTCCCACCCCACAGCAGACCTCAGGAACCCCAGCCCGAGGCGTTGGCTGCGCATCCTTCCAGCAGTTCTTAATATAAGACAACGAGGAATCATCCACAACTGATAGCACAAAGTAAGCAATCCATGTCACAACGCACAATCAAGATGGATTTTTTGTTTTTCCTCGGGGGGGGGGGGGGG